TGCTTCCCCGGCGGGTGGGGAGCGCTGTGCAAGGGAGTTTGTTTGGAGCGTTTTTCTCCGTTTTATGTGTAGAGTGTGGGCCAGGGGAGACTCGGTTCTGACGTGCCAGCCTTGTGCTCGCTCTTGGCTCCCCACGGTCTGCTCTAGCCGTGTAACTTGGCCCGCGCTCGCACGGAACATGCCCGGTCTCTGAGCTGAAAATAAAAACAGATGTCAAAAACTCTTTCAAGCCAGGTGTACCTCTCATCACGTTTATTCTAATAATCCCTGTGCAGTAAGGGAGTGATTCCAGAGTAAGAGCCAGGTGGACCGGAAGGTGAGAAAGTGGTTATGAGGCATCTGTTCCTTGCAGAGGCTGTCAGTGAATTTCTGCATAGCTGCCTTGTTACTGAGGTGACTGAAATGACTGACAGCATTCTGGTACCCAAGGAAAGTAAAACTCCTCAGCACCCACAGTACAATAAATATGATGAAGAAAAAAGATAGTATTTTATCCTTCTCAATAGTAAGTTCTTTTACTGTACAGGACCACCACAGATATTACAGGGTTTTTCCTTAGTTGTAGTTGCTTCACCATATATTAATAAAACTAGTTGCAAAATATGTGGTGAAAATAGTGCAAAGACATCCCAAAGAGAATTGATGTGTGTCATAGGAATGTTGTTCTGGTGTTTTCATGGTTATATTTTGGTGTGTTTTGTAGGCTGGTTTGCAAAACCTACAGAAGAGAAGACAAGTCTGAGGCCTCATGAAGAGATGAAGAAGGCATTTATGGCTGAAATGAAAGTGGAAAACATCAAGAAGTTTCTTTAGTAAGCAATGTGTAGGCTTATTAATCATAAATCATAAAGAAAAAAAAAAGACTTATATTCACTTTCATGAGGACAGATGTGTTCCCTCTCTACATCTGCACACTGAATAGCAAGAACAGACATGGCAAATAGCAGCTAGTCAGCAGATGGTACATTAAATTGTTCACATTAAATGTAATATTCTTAAAGTTTCAAGGTCTTTTCTAAGATCTTGATTTTTTTTTCAAATAATTTATTAGTTTCACCTACCCTTTAGTGCTTAAATTAGACAGGTGATTTTAAAAATTTTGACAGTGGTTCTTTTATTAAACCTACAAGCAAAGCTGCTGACATTTGTTTCTGATTATTCCATTGGTGGAAGAGAATCATTTTTTAAATCTATTAAAATCCTTAATTTCTGTAATTTAGTTAGAAACTTATTGAAAGAAATTAACATTTCTTTTTTAAAAAGGTATCAAGGATGAGTGATTTTAGGATTAATCAGTGGATTATGGCTTGCTTTTAATTCCTAGCCTGGTTTAGTAACTTGAAGTTGTATCACATTCCAAACCCTTACAAAAGAAAAATAGTTAAAACTAATCTTACTAAAAAAGCATTTTCAGTTGATGAGACTTTGGCTTTCCCTCTCATTTCACTTTAATTGCACTTGCAGAACGGTTGCAGATAAATTAACTTTCAAGAACATTCTTTTTACTAGTGAGAGCAGTGTTGAAAACTGAAGCCTCAGGACTTTTTACAGACTTAACCTGCATTTTGGTTCCTAGCAGGTCAACTGTTGCTAGACAACTCTATAAAAGGACTCTCTTCTGCCATTCAAATTCCCTTTCTCATTATTTATAGTGCAGCCAATTCTGTGGTGAAATATAGCAGATACTTAACCATGACTCAGAACTGCCGGTACAGGCTGTCAACAGCTTAGAACAGGAAATGAGGAAAATCACAGTATTCAATGCAATGGGCATGAATACAGTAGGATATTATTGTGTAAGTTCAACTTTAACCAAAACATGAAAGTTAAACATTCCCAAATCTTACAACTATTGTCTCTTTAACACATAACCATGCGTTTGGTTCAATATATCACCCAAAAAATGGTACCTTCCTTCTGACAGGAACTTACAGTATGTTGTTGATACAAGATGTTGACTTTATGAGAGGAACACGGTGTTACATAACAGCATTTTGCACAAAAGCAGGAATATGTAGTGCTTATGAAATACTTTGTTTGCTGGCTTTGTTCTCCCTGGAGGTCCAGAATTATTTTTTTTCCCCAAATTTATACTCCTTTCCTATCTGAGATCCAGTTTTTCTCATTAATAGTAGCTGGTGTAACACATTTTTCTATGACATGTTGATGATGCAGTCTTGTGACAGAATGAGGACATGAGAATGCCAACTTCATTCATTTGGAGCTTCTTCAGCTCACTTTACTACTGGTCCTACTCAGTGATCTGGGCAAGTTTTTTTTTTTTTTAAGTCAGTGTGTTGCCCACTATTTGAGATACCTTGCACTGTTATTTTGTGCATGGTGGAATGATTTTTAAGTCACAAGCAATTGAGGTTTTTTGTTCCTTGTTTTTATGCTGCTGTGAACTAACCAGCTCTTATTTGTATACCAGATACAGTCAGATCTAAATACACAAGATTCAGGTATAGATAAATAAATACTTATGCCCAAATTAATTAAAATATTGGGTTGAGAAGAATACATAGTTAATTGAACAAAGATGAGAACAAGGACAAGGCCCCACAGCTGATTTTTTCATGTCATTTCTGCTAAGTCACGCTGCTAGGAAGTAGCACACTTGTAGCAGTTCAGGACAAACTGAAACCCTTTACCTCAACTTACAAAAACATACATGTAGAGAGGCCTGGGTGCTGATTTAATCTGCACATCTCTAGGGGGGTTTCCAATGGGTTTTTCTAAGTAGGCCATGATGAGTTCCGATTCTAATCTGCAATGCCCTGTAGAGAGGCCTGGGTGCTGATTTAATGCAGACATCTGCATGTGCAGACATCTCTAGGGGGGCTTCCAATGGGTTTTTCTAAGTAGGCCAAGATGAGTTCCGATTCTAATCTGTAATGCCTTGTCCTGACTGACTTCTTCATCTCTAGCAATTTTACACGCCTTCCGCACCTAGCGGGAACAGAGGAGAATCTGCACCTGGCAAAGCAAATCCAAGCCGAGTGGAAGGACTTTGGATTGGATTCTGTTCAGCTGGCTCACTATGACATCTTGCTTTCTTACCCAGATGAAACCAAACCCAATTACATCTCAATAATTGATGAGCTTGGAAATGAGGTAAAGAAAACAATTATTCAACCAGGAAAAAAATCACCCTCCTATAATACCTTGGAAGACTGAGAGGGAAAGCTGTCTATCATCTGCTCTGTTGATGGTGTTGGGCCTAATCCAGGACTCAGGGAAACGGATGGTTCCAGTTTGCTTTTCTTGTTTTATTTGTTTCTCCATCTGTATGCTAGGTAGACTAATACTGATTCATGTCACTGATTCATGTGACATGCTGAGATGTGTGGATCACTCCATCTGTATGCTAGGTAGACTAATAATTATCCTGATTCATGTAACATGCTGAGATGTGTGGATTGAAAGAAAGAAGTTAAGAGAATTTTTAAAAAGTTAAGAGAATTATATTATGTGGCTCAATTGTTTTTAAATTGTTGTATTATTTAGAGAGAGGAATACAGTTGTAGTAATTGTCATTACTTTCATTGAATTGTTTGTAGAGTGGCTGGCTGGTGATTATGCTAAATTCAGTTTCTTGAAGCATAGGCCTCCAGAAATACTGACACAAGCAAAATCAGGACATTTCAGTGCAGGTCTATTGCTTGTGGAAGCTCCAAGGATGAGCAGAACAAAACCATTCTGCTGTATAGGGACCATCTTAAAGGACCCTATGTTATTTAAGTGGGATTCCATGTGAAGGGTTGAGGTGCAGTTTGCAAGTTAACACTTTGTGTGCTGAAAGTGATAGCCAATGCCTGTAAAAGTTTTGGTCACTCCTCATTTAGAGTCCTAGAACTAGAATTCTGTAAGCAACAAATGACTATGAAATGCACTGCATACACAGTAGTTCTTTCTTAAGTTATCTGATTTAATTTTTTTCTTCCTTCTTTCATACTAGATTTTCAACACATCATTATTTGAGCCTCCTCCTTCAGGATATGAGGCTGTTAGAGATGTGGTGCCACCTTACAGCGCATTTTCAGCCCAAGGAATGCCTGAGGTAAAATAACAGAACTAGAAAATTCCTAACTTTTAAGCTTTATTTGTTCAGAGTTTGATGTCATAAAGAGAAAAAAAAATGTGCTAGCCCTGGTGTTCTGGGGTGTTCTGCAATGGAGCTACTTTGTAAATGAGCACTTTATATTTTTTCCTCTGTTTTAAGTCAGAATGGGATTATTTTCTTTTCTTTAAAAAGGGATAAATAAATGTTTAATGTTATCAACTTCTCCTGTTAATACTATGAATATACCCTGCTGTTTCCCATCTTAGTCATTATGGGAATATAATAATGGGAATCATGCTGTTTCCCATTAATCAATAAGCAAGACTTTTATATTTTAGTAGCTAAATGAGTAACCTAATTTCAAAATGTTGTTTGTCCACGGCTCGCACTGACAGGTGTGAGAGTGAACCATATGCCTGCAAATGGCTTTGCCTAGTATTTCTAGCTGGGGGGCAAGGTGTTATTAAGATCCAGATTTAACACTAATCTTCCTATCTTGTTGTATGGATGGGACCAGCTGACAAGTTTCCTTTTATGAAGCTGGTCATATCAGGAGTTTCATATCCTCACATCATTAGTGATTTCACTTAATAACTTCTAAGGTAGAAAATATTTCCTTGTTTGCAGTACCTCTGGACCAATCTCCGCTTCAAAGCAGGAAGCAGGGAATTGAATCTCAGCCTGCTGACAGTGCTGTTTTTTAGCCCAGTATTTCATATCTGTAATTTCTGAAGATTGTTAGTAAACTATACAAAATCAGAAAAAAAACCACCCTGTATTCATATACCTCAGATATTCAAAGGAACCAGGAGAACCAGACATACAGTCTGTCCCATAGGATATGAGAACTTTCAATGTTTCAAGAGCTGAAGTAGGAGTTTGGAACATAATGTAAGGTAAAATGTATGGACTCTGACTTCCTATCATAATATCCCTAAAGAAAGACAGAATAACCTCACCAATTTATTTGGACTCTGGAGATCTACAGTACATGATAGGATATGAGAAATAATAAAAGATGAAACTTTCTTTAGAAAATTATTTGACTTCGATCAAATATGAGACTGTTCCTTCTGAAAGAAAGAATACCTAAAAGACATATAATCTTTTCAAAATACGGTGCTTATGTTTTCGTTATTGCAATATTCTGACAAGAGGCTATAGGTGCCTACGTAGAGCTGTTAAGAATAACATTCTCCAGAGAGCAGTTGTTTGCATCTGTACAGCAAGCAGCATAGCGGGGAGCACATGTATAGCTCAGCAGGGAGTATCTGGAATATTCTGACAGTATCTGGACTCTTCTGAATTCTCCCAGGCCAATTGATATATTTTATATTAAAAGCTATTCCATTTAAAAACAGAACTAACCTGTGGAATGTGAGTTTTGAAATCAGCAAGCAATTTCATTAGTCTTCTGTTGAATGAAGGAAGAAAGCTGCAAAGTAGCTGCATGCCTGCTAACTATAGCCTCATGAGTAGGCCTTGCTCTTGGAAAGTGGAAACATGAACTTTGAACCCAAAATTCTTTGCACTAAGAGAGGACAAGAACTCAGCTCTTGCTTTTTCTGGGTGAATGCTCTAAATAGAGAGTTGCTTGGTACTGCACTTCTTCAAGCATTTTCTTTTTAAAAAAATATGGAAATGACTGTTTTGAAGGATAAATCCTGTCATAGTGTGATACTCATCTATCTGCTGGAGTGAACCCTGCAGAAATTTAGAAATAGTTTCACCTTATTTCTGCTTCTCAGTACATGGGACAGTTTTATTCCTGCACTGTTACAGAAACAAAAATGGAAACACTTAGGGTCAGTGAGGTGGGCAATACCAGCTGCGTATAATCTGGCTGCCTCCAGATTAACCAGCAACTTCACATAGCCTTCAGCTTCAGGCTAAACATAAATTTATATATTTAGATGTCCATATGTATATTTGGTGTCTGAACTTCCATGGTAGTCAGTGGACTTTGGTTTATTCAATACAATCAACAGGCCCTAGATAACAATTTAACTCATCTCAGTGTAGTACCTGTCATTCAGTTTAGTTACTTAAACATGGATGTCTAGTGGCATTTGAGATGCCATAGGGTTTGCTGACTGACTCTCACTCTAGAAAAGAACATGTTTCTTGTGGATCCTGTGGTATATCTACTACCCCTGTCCATGGAGGCTTTGGGCTGGCTCAAATGATGCTAGATGTTTAGGCAACTGAATTAAGCCTTAGAACTTAATCCACAGAGCATTTTTAAACATACCTGAAAAAATGTGATAGCCTACAAACTTAAGTATTTTCTACTAGATATTCTAAAGTGCTTATGCAAAAATGAAGAACAAAATTATGTATCTTATGCTGAATCTCTGTTGATAGGGCTTTTAGACCAGTATTTAATTCTTGTATTGCTGAAAGCTCAGGAAACAAAAGATCTTGCTATGTTATGTTATGCTATAATAACTTAATTATACTAGAAAATCTTTCCCAATTTCAATAGAGTTACCTTTGATTTTATTGTGAGGAAAATGTAGTGCATAAATTCAGGAGAGCCTCTCCAAGAATGATCCTTGTGTTTGACACACTGTCTGAACAGAGAGGACCAGAATTTTAGCAGGTATGAAACTGTTCCCCTGCTTAAATAGAGTTCCCTTGCTTCATTAATTTATACTTATCGAGAATCTGGCTCAATTTGTTTAATTTAAGAAGAAATTACAACTTGAGTAGATGGGTGTTGAAACCCGTATAGTTAAAATAACTTTACCACACTCTATCAGGATGTTCTATATGCTGCATTATCAGCCAACCTGAATTGGTTGGGAATTTCATCAGTGTAGGACATTTAAGTTTGTATCTTTTCCAGTTTAAGATGGACCATCTCTCTGGATGTGCCTGATAATATAGAAAACACCACTAAGGAAAAGTTTCCTGTCATCTGATTTTAGTTATTTGAAATTATGGTCATCCTCCCTAAATTAGTCTTTGAAACTCTATCTATATATACAGTCAATGAGAGGTGTCCTTAAAGTGCAGTTTATTCCTTCTTAAAGAAAGATGTTTAAAACTGGTTTGGCCTGAAAACTCTCCAGAACTTCCAGACTCTCATCACTAGTCTCAGAGTGCTGCCTGACCTCAGTAAACCGTGCATACATCTTCTAGGTACCTGACATTAAGGAAGATGAATCAAGTGTTGAATAACATGGTTGAAACAGAGGCGTGAAGAATACTTGATTCTTTTGCAAAGTGTACTTAATAAGTAAGTACACAGCTTCCACAGAATTTTATAGGATATAAGCATGAGTTTACTGTGATGCTTAAGATACAATTGCTATTTACTGAGATGCTTGGGTCCAAAATACCTCCAGCTCTCTGAGACTGACTGTAACTTCTTAAAAAGGCAACAAAGAGAAGCCGGGGCCATATTCAGAGCACTTATTCTCTGTTTCTAATTGATTGAGGAGTGATATCTTGCATTGTGGAGATCAAAGTCAGGCAGCTTCTGATTTAGGGGACTGGAGCTTATGAGGAGAGGCTGAGGGCGTTGGGTCTGTTTAGCCTAGAGAAGACTGAGGGGGGATCTTATGAGTGTGTACAAATATCCTAAGGGAGGGTGTCAAGAGGATGGGATCAGACTCTTTGGTGGTGGCCAGCAATAGGACAAGAGACAATAGACACAAACTGAAATGCGGGAAGTTCTGCCTGCATTTGAGGAAAAAATTGGCTATGAGAGTGACAGTGCACTGAACAGGTTGCCCAGAGAGGCTGTGAGGTGTCCTTCTCTGGAGATGCTCAAAATCCACCTAGACACAATCTTGTGCAACATGTTCTAGGGGATCCTATTCGTGCAGAGAGTTTGCACGAACCTCAGTGATTCTGTAACTGTAGGGACCTAATTCATTAGAGGTCACTTGCCTATTTGACTTATAATCAAGGAAGAATTCATATCAGAATCAATACTCAAGCCACTTGTTCTTAGCTTATTCTCCTACCAAATCTCAACCTCCTTCTCACACACTCATTGACGTTCTTGTTTCAAATTTTTCCTCCTTTTATCAGGGTGAATTAGTGTATGTGAATTATGGCCGCACTGAAGACTTCTTTAAGCTAGAACGTGAAATGGGCATCAACTGTACAGGAAAGATTGTTATCGCTAGATATGGCAAGATCTTCAGAGGAAATAAGGTAATGCATCTATATAAAAATCTTGCTTGTGCTATCTTCTAGTTCATTCAAAAAGACTGAAATTTTTACCTAAAGCCTTCTGGAGATTTTAGTGTAATTGAACTTTTCATAGAGCTATGAATAACCAGCAATATCAGTCCTGATGGCTGCATCGTGCTGGGGGACAAGCTGATGGACTTGGGGGAGACAGATAACAAACAGCACAATATATAGGGAATAACTGAGCTTGTTGCAAGCCAAAATTCATCTGGTATGAAAAAAATGACCACAAGTCGATCATTTTATCCCATAAATAATGGGACAGCCCAAGTGCCCATTGAGCAGTCCTTGCAAGGCAATGGGTTGCACGCCAGGATCTCCCCTACAGCAGGATGTCTTTCAAGGTCAAGATTAAGAGATCCTTAAGTGATCCAGTGCTAGATCCATGGTATGCAAATGTAGCATGCTGAAAGTTTCTATTTTTTTTAACTTTACTATATTGTATCTAGGATTCATTGTGCACATAATCCTTTAGGAATAAACCATTGACCAAGTCTGGGACTAAGACTGTATCCAGTCACCCCAGGCCCCTCTGAGAATGAGTTTGGAAAGTAAAAGGATCTAATCTGAACCCCATGACTCAACAGCAGGCTCTCCTTGGTAATTCTGTGTGAAACTTGTCCTTCATGCAGTAAATAACAGTGACCTGGGATAAATATATGACTAGCTGAAAGATAAATTGCTTCAAAGTTCATGATACTTTTTTTTTCAATCCATGATGTATAAAATGGCCTGGTGATAGCTTTGATCTGAGCCACAAAATATCATCTCAGTTCACGTAGTAACACCTTGGAGGATTGTTTCCACGTTGCTGCAGTTACCTTCCTTACTTTTGAAGCTGCAGTAGATCTCTTACATTCATATGGAACCCAATATCTGCCTGTGTACTTCCAGGAAATTGCGTGGTATGACAGGTATAGGATAGATTTTTAATTCCTATAAAATTCCTTTAATTAGGCCAAGCAGTGTAAAAGACTTTGAGATATAGTTGCTGTAGTTTATAATACTTTCTTTTGACCTTTGACCGCTGTGCAAGCTATAAGGGGCTGAACAGGACCACAGATCTGCTTTGCAGGTAAAGAATGCTGAATCGGCAGGTGCCAAGGGAGTCATTCTGTACTCTGACCCTGCTGACTACTGCGCCCCAGGAGTAAATCCCTATCCAGCTGGCTGGAACCTGCCAGGTGGAGGAGCTCAGCGTGGAAATATATTAAACCTGAATGGGGCAGGGGATCCTCTGACACCAGGTTATCCTGCAAAGGGTGAGTGACACTGAAGAAGTCATTCTGTGAGTTCCTGATTTCAGAAGAGGTTGAGCAGAGTGAACCATTCCTTGCTAGTTCACCTTCACCTCACACTGCCACAGCTGTTGGCTTGAGCTCTACCTAAGACATTTCATTTAACATTAAATCCAGCTCATTTTGTCTGATACGTGTTAAGGACCGCTCACACCAGGCCCTGAGAAGGAGAAACACCAATCCATGTCAGAAGGAGGCAGTCCTTAAGAAGAATAGTCCCTACAGGATAGGGAAGGTTGTCTCTTTGGTCAGTACAACTTGATCTGGAAGAGGATGTGTCCACAGGTGCAGCCTAGCAGCAGTAGGCTTTGGGGATGATTTGTAATTCCACATACTAGATCCAGTGAATTTGTTTTCATGTTAGATTGATGAATCTCTGTCTGCCTTACACAGTAAAGGTTCCTCCAAATGCTGTATTGAGGAGTAAAATCCCATTTTATCCACATCTGCTAGATTTTTCTACTAGAAAAATAGCTTTCAAAAGATTGACCATACTATGAATATTAAGATTTTTCTGAAAAAAAAAAAAACTTGTGTTTGAGTTCTATATTTTTTTTCCATGTAAACATTAAGAGAGCAGAATATTCAGTGGCTGAGTATATATTATATAAAAATGAGCTTATCTACATCTCTTAACATCTAGCAAAATTTTTAAGTTCCCAGTTGAATGTTCCAAGGATCAGACTACTCTCTGTTTCTTTGCTCTTGTCCTTGCTTTTTGGATTTGTCCAAAGACCATTTATGTGAAAAGAAATATTCTTACCCAAAAACATTTCAACCAAATAATTAAGAATGAATTGAAAAATTCCTAGCCAGCTAGCATGTATGAGTGCAGACAGTAACAGAAGATTTTTTGTTAGTGTTTCTGAAAACATGTTGTTGAAGTGTAAAGAGTGATGTCACTGTAGAAATGTCAACCCAGTTTCAAGGATGAAATAATTATTTTTGACTTCTGTGTTAGAACTGTGCTATGAATTGTACAAATTCCTTCTCAGAGTTGCAAATATAAATGTTTTATTTTGTTTTCAGAATATACCTACCGATTAGACAAAGACAGTGGTGTAGGTCTTCCCAAAATTCCAGTTCATCCCATTGGTTATCATGATGCTGAGTCACTGCTGCGGTAAGTAAATAGAACACATTGGGAATTTTAAATAGATTGCTTTGTAAAAGACATGAGTGTTTGAAAAGAATGGGAAATGACTTTTGCATTTTTCTTGTAATGTAGTTGTTGAAATAGTACATTTGTTTATAATCAGGATTTCTGTAAGAGGTAAACACATTTTGGTATCTGTTACTATGCATTAGATATGTGCTGAGTGATCAAGAAAGGATCATTATGATAAAGGCAATGATTTGTAGGGCTGCCATGATTCCCTCTTACCAAAAAAAAAACCCACAAATAAGATCATAAAATTAGCCATTTGTCCAGGAAACATTTGTCATTTATGGCTCATGGGATGGGCCTAGTACTTTGTTCTCTGTTACTTAAAGTCTGTGCTCTCTCAACTAAAATAAAGACCCTGCGGAGACTCTGGAACATTGTAAGGGCATATCTACAAAGTGTGCTTATTAAATGCTGCTAGGTTGCCAGATGACAGCATAATGATCCGAACAGACCAAATAATTATTCTGAAAGAAATAAGATATATTTGAGTGCCAAGTGCTTTCTTCTAGCATGTAGGAATAATTATTTGCACCATCTGTATGGATAAGGAGTGGGGGTATTAGGGTTGGTAACCACAGAAAAGCATTCAGGACAACATGGCGACGTAATTGTGTGTATTTGTAGGGGAATTTATATGTAAGTCCCATGAGTAATCATTTTGCTCTGTCTGATGTCTCTGAGAATATTGATTCCAATTTTGGGCACTGCATAAAAAAAGATATGGACCAATTACCAGAATTCGTACTATAGTAGAGAGATTGAATAAAGGTCTTAGAAAGCACAGCAAAAGAGGACTGGAATAAAAGCCTACTTACTACTGTTGAGGGTAAGGTATAAAGTGAAAAACACCATATTCAGGTGATATTCAGGTAATTCAAATTCAAATTCGGGGCATTCAAATATGGACTTTTCAGGTTTGCATGTAAGGAAAATGTAAGGTGCACAAATAGATTGTCTGGGGAAGCTCCTTTCATAAATGGATGTACAAAGCTGCTTTCTCTTGGCACATAGGTGAAAGACTTCTCACTGCTCCACAACCTTCTCTCCCATTCATTCTATCAAATTCTTTTGTTCTTGTAGGATTCAAGACCTCTTCTACAATCTGTTACACAGAGACAGTAACAGCTGCCTTAGCTAGGAAGAGCATTTATAAAATAGTCCATCAGTGTGTTTATTCATGAGGTCTGATACTGAGATAGCTTTGACTATGTGTTTTTTCTCTCAGTTTTTTGAATATTGTGAAACAGTGCTGTTTTTGCACTATAGTATAAGCTCATACCAACCATTATATTAACACAAATCTTAATCCTGAAAAGACACAAGCATGCACAAAAGTAACAGCATGCATTAAATTATTTTGAAATTTAAGCACAATCCCTGTTCTTAAAGATATGTTTGTGTAGTAATAGACACACACTGGACATGTGCAGATTAAATGCAGAAATCCTATGAAAACAAAAACACAGTAATCTTCAAAAACACAGTGATCTTAAAAACAAAGACACTTGGCATGGTTTTACATCAGTAAATTGGGATGGGATTGCTCTAATGAGTGGTAATGAAGGGAACACTATATGCTAGTACATATTCTCCAGTCTTCTGGTTCTCTGCTTCACAAAAGGTACTTTTTTCTCTCTTTTTTTCATCTTTACAGGAATCTTAATTTGAGCCAGAAGACAAACAAATGTTCTGTGTTGGTGCCAGAAAGCGTGTTCATAAGTACCTTTAATGAGCATTGGGAAACAGGAGCAATTCAGTCCTTGTTCACAATGCTGACACGGGTGTTCTGCACGGGTCTCTCCGGTTAGTGGCATCTGGACATATGAGTTCCCAAACTCTGCAGCTTCGCTCTAGTTGCTAGTGCTCAAACCCCTTCTCATCACACAAACAGAAACACTAACAGGTCTGTTTGGTAGCTGGTCCAGACCAGTTTGTGGTCTCCTCAGTAGCAGATACTTGGATGTCTGGTCTTTCCACTAGCTGTCTCTCAGACCGATGGTCTCCTTAGTCAGTTTGCGCCTAGACCTGTTGTCCTACGCAGCAGCTACTCTATCTTGAAGTTTGGTAGCGAGTGCACACACAGGCCTAAAAGTTCCCAAGGAAACACACAACCCCTGTCTGTCCAGTTGCTGCCCCCCTTTGCAGTTGCTTTTAGATCTCTTACCACACATACACACACACACACACACACACACAGAATAGAGAGCCCTCCCTAGAAAACTAGTTAAGAATATAGTGGAATAAAAAGTGTCACTGAACAAGTGGGGGTGGGGGTGAGTGACACAATGCACTTCACTCATGGGAAAGAAACAGGAATAGGTTTTATTGATAATGACAGTGGTTTCATGAGATTCTATGGCAAGGTCACTTATTATTTATTGCATGGAGGTTCAAGATGCACAGAATTACCAAGGAGACCCTCCCATTATGAACCATGAGGTTCAGTCTGGACCCCCTTGCTTTCCAACCTCCTTTTGACAGGAGTCTGGGTGCGGCTGGATCCAGTCCTAGTCCCATTCCTGATCAACGGTTTATGTCTAAGGGATTTGTGCACAGTTACAAAGTAAAGTTTA